ACTCCAAACAACTGAGGAACACTGTCCAGGGCTATTCAATGAATTCTTAATTTCAGATACTGTATTTTGTGTTCTAGAGCGTCAGGGATTTTAATAAGATGTAATTTCTGTGTTGAAATTCTGCTTGTCCATTTATGCATCTCTTCCCTTGATTTTTCTTGAACATGTTCTATATGGTTAATTTCAGGTGAGTGTCTGATGACTCCACTGGTTGGATTACCTGTGAATCTCCTCTCTAATGTCTTTTCTCTTGATTCTAGACACACTTTCCTTGCTTCTATGCATGCCTCATCCTTTTCAACTATGTCAGACATTGTGTAAAAACTGGTGTTTAGATGCCTTAAACTTCTGACCTGTCATGCCCGTGGTGTTTGACTACTCCATGGTAAAGTCTTTCAGCAGGGGTCAAACACAGTCCTGAGTCCACATCCAAAGTTGGCACATATCCCCAGGGAAGAAAATGGCTTGTGATCTTCAGCCCACCTTGGAAGGGCGCTCCACACTAGAAATTGTAATCTAGTCCTCATTGTTTCTAAAGCTCTCTGATGTCTTTACAATGTTCCTAAAAATTATTTTTCTAGATTTTTTTTAGTTCTTGCAGTGGGAGCCTGGAGCTGCTTCAAACTACTGTTTTCTAGGTTGAGGTAGAGATGCTTTTGTTAGTTTTGTTTTGCTTTAGGATTTAACTAGAGCTTTATGGCAGTGACTCCCAAATCTCCAGTTGTAAACTCTCAACCATGCACAGTCATACCTGCCACGTACCTACTCTATGGTTCCCCTTTCCCACTAAAGCATCTAAAACAAATGTCTTTTACTGTTTCATTTGCATTAGTCTGATGTATCATAGCCATTTTTATTCATCCTTCTCTTCCATTCCCCACTTCAGTCCCGATAAACTTAAAAAAATCTGTCAGGAAAATAAAAAGGAACAACTTTCTTCTTTTTTTTTAAAGAAGGGGCTTAATTTGACTTACACTATAGTTCAGTATCTTCAATTTACAAAGGACAGAATTGATGTACAAATAAGTGAAGTGTTTGGCACAAGATAACAGTTTCTGTTGGAGTTTAATCAAGAACTCAGGTCTACTTCATTGCTCTTTCCACACTGTACCATACCGCCCCTCTCTGAATAAGGCAATTACACATCTTTCTTTCACATCAGAATGATGCCCTATCTGACTTTCAAGCTCTCCATGATTTGTCTTACTCATATTATCTTGCTTCTCCAACTTTATTTCACAGAAGTCTGGATCTTTTTCTGTCTTGAGTCGGCCCATGATCAAGTCAACCCAGATTTGGATGCCAACAACAAAAATGCCAAAAGTAGTCCTATCTGACCTTGTCTCCCCACCCAATGTTTTGAGTAGAACTTTTGGCAGTGTTGTTAATAAATTTCCCAGAATTGCTTGTATATCATGCTAGTACCACTCTTGGAAGTTATGAGTTCTACATTCATTATTTAACAAGTGAACCTCTTTTGATTTTCCCTAGGTTCACATCATGGTCCACAAATCCAAGGCTACCACTTACAGACTGCCATGGTAACCGTGCTTCCTAAAGCTGTGTCACATGTCCCCTCATTTGGGAATCTGGTATACAAATTTGGGGGCACCTTAATAAGTGCATGCAAGTCTTCATTTTTCAGAGTAAAGTGTCAGAATACCCCACATCATTTTCATCCATTTCCTTAGGCTATCTACTTCTGATTTCATTGCAGCTTTACCATGATGTAAGGACTCAATGTATAAAAGGGATCTGAAGGGTGAATGTACCTTAGTTTTCAATACAACATCAAGGCTATGTTTCTGTGCTGTTTCTGTTACCATTCCTGATGATGTTCAACATTCACTTGTCTTTTCCAATAGATCCCATAGGGTGGATTGAGCTGTACTTAAGAAGCGCTCTTGACTATAAGGCAGGAGACCAGGATTCTAGTCCTGGGCCTATCTCTTACTCATTATGTGATCCTGGGCAAATAATTAACCTAACAAAACTTATGTGTCAGGAATAGTGCTGAATACAGGGATATAGAAATACATGAGTCACACACCCTGCCCTCAGACAGCTCCCAGGCTACTGGAAGAGACTGGCAGGAAAAAAAATGATTAAAACAGAGTTTAATAGTAAGTATCGACAAGTCTGCACTAGATATGGGTGACCAGGTAATCTCCTAGGTAAGGAATGTTACTTAGCTAAAGGTAAAAGGGGATCAGAAAATACTCCCCAAAGAGTTATGATATTTGAACAGAGACTGCAGGAAGCTGGTTTGTTGATTGCTATAATCTCAGCCCCCAGAGCAATGCCAGGTACAGAGCAGGTACTTAATAAGCACCTGTTTACTGATGAGAGCAAGGAGGGGAATTCTTTGTGGCTAAGACTGCTTAGACAAAGGTGGGGAGGTGTCAGAGAACATGGTGAATTCAGGGAACTATGATTAATTATGGAGGGCTAGAGTGGACAAAAGGAGAGTATTTGGGCCTAAGGCTAAAACACAGGCCAAGTTCAGAATATAAAAGGTCTGGTATGACAAGATAAGGCTTTTGAACTTTCTATTAAGTGCAATAGGGAGCCACCAGGGAATTTAAACACTATAGTCATAAAATCAGATTTTGATTTTACCTTGATGCTCCAGTTATCAATTTAGTGCCTCTTCTCCAAATTCACCCTGCGTTGCCTCCTCAGCAAAATAGAACTAGACCCTTAAAATATTTCTCATTTTGTCAGTGGGCATAATGTTCAGCTTCCTCAGGAGAGGGTGCTAGAAGGATACTGGAAGAGGAAGGGGTTTGTTTGTGGGTTCACACATGTTCTCCTTTTATCAGGCCCGGGAACATGCAATTTCTCCAGTGCTAGGATCCTGCAGTGCAGTTTCTGCAGCACCTGCCGTATGTGATCTCTTCACGTGATCTCTTCAGTGCCTGACTGCTGTACCGTCCAGTCTTCAGCAGTTCCCAGCTTCCCCAGCACCTCTCCTGGGAAGCTTTGTAGCAGAGTGGAGCCAGTGAGTCAGTCCCCTTTTCATGACTGGCTTCTCCAGAACTCCAGAGAGATTTGTGCCTCCTTGGCACCTCAGAAATTTCTCTGCCACCCAATGAGATATGGCCACACCCTCGGCAACAAGCTCTTAGAAGGTTGTCTCTTTTGGGGGTGATCTGTCTCAAGGGTTGTGGTTGGTCCCTGTATCTATGTATGCTTGTATCTATATATGCTCTTTATGCCTTACTCACCAACCTTCTATTACTCCAATCTCTCTTCTATTACTCATTATAGTTAAACATTCTTTATATTGAACTTTCTTTGGTAAACTTGTTCTATGATTTCTTCCTCTTTGTTCGACTCTGAAACAGGCATTGACTGACAGTAAAAGGAATGGACTGAAGCTTCAGGCAGGGATCCTGGTTAGGAGAATATGGAAGCACTTTTGGTAACAACTCTGAAGCACTGTTGCCTTGAAAAGCGGTTGCAGTGGGGAGGGATAGGAGAGACAGGAGCTACAGGACTTGGTAGCCACTGAGGGAGGAAGAAAAGGAGAGAGGAGAGTTTAGGGTGACTCCCCACTTGTAAAGTTTGGGTAACTGGGTCCTTGGTGGCCCCACAGTAGAAATGGAGAGCACTGAAGGGGGAGCAGGTCAAATTCCCCTCCCTTGTTCCCATGTACTGTCAGGAGGTCTATGTCCTTTTGAGCCACAGAGACTTAAAATTATAGGCCCCTTGGGGTGGAGAGGCCCCAAAGCCCAACTTTTATGCCTTTGAGTAACATGAACCCCTTGTTCATTTCAGATCAGAGAAGTGGGGAAAAGCCCATTTTAGTTTAACATTTTATGAGAATGATGATTTTGTAAAGTTCTTTTCCATTCTTAAAGCTTTCAGTACGGTAGACCCTTCTCAATCTTCCATTCTAGCCCCCTCATCTCCAGCTCTTAAATTCAACCAATTTCCTCTTTTTTAAAACTCACATCACTCCCAGTCAGAATCATGGCCAACACTTACATGCTGAGTGCTAAAGAATATAGGTCTCAACACATATGGAATATAGATTTATTTCTGGAACCTCTCACTTGGTTTTATCGGTGTGGGCTAAACAGGGCTTCAGTTATACAAATGAGGGGCTCCAATTACATGAATGAAAGGCTCTAGATGCCAGAATCCCAGAGGTAGTGTCTATGAAAGGCTCTTGGAACCTAAGACCAAGCAACTGCATGGATTTGTTTGGGTTTGGAATAGGAGGTGGTGGGTTTTGGACACATGGTTATGGTTGCTTGGAATGCATTCACCACTTTTCACAGGTTTTTCAGATCTCAGCTCAGCTTTCCCTGAGCTCTCCCTTAGTTTCATTATATCTTCTCAGAGCACCATTTACCCAACTCTCCACACCAGCATTTAGCTCTAATTTTAAACTACATGCATGATTCTTTGATTAATACCTGCCTCTCCCAATGGACTGTAAACTTCAGGGCAGGAACGCTCAGTTTCTGTTCACTATACTCTCACTATAGCCTTGGTGCCTGGAATATAGTCAGTGCTCAAAAAAGGTTAGGAAAATAAATCACAGGAAAATGAATCAATGATAGCTCTTTATAAACTGCTAGTCATGCTCATTGGTCCTCATGACAACCCCAGTCTCCTCCCCATCCCCCCACCCCCACCCCCACCGCCGGTATTCCTTTAACCACGTTACAGAAGAAAAAGAACAGGTTTGGCCAATCAGTGACGTCGGGGGCTCTGATCCGAGATTTTGTTATGTTTTCAAATCATTGTTCTCTGTGTAAGAAATCACAAATAGTAGTTCTTGGTGCAAAAATGCAGATATAGTATGGGCAGAGAAACAATATCACCCATGGTCATATTCTCTTAAAGACTATAATCCCCTCCTCTTGTTCTGTGGACAAGGATTCAAAATCCAGGTGGGCCCATGAGCAGGACTCTTCCCTTAGACCCACGCAGCCCCCGGGGTGCTCGCCGCTGTCCCCTCCCTCCACTTCCCCTTTCGGAGTTGCTACCTGATGTTCGTTCCCAAATAAGCTGTCTGGCACCAGCCGACACCCGGTGCCTGGCCTCAGGCAGGAAGTACGGTGAGAGATTCGGTGCCTGGCACCCTTGGCAGAGGGAAAGCAGTAGAACTTGGGCAAGGTCGGTACCGGCCTAGGCTTGGAGCGACAGAAGAGGTGGAGCGAGAGCCGGCTTTGTTAGAGCTTAGCCTTCGCCTGGCAACCCTGACGCCGGCTGCGCTGCCTGGCAACCGAGGCGGAAGAGCGGAGGGGCGGGGGCGAACGTCACAGAGCAGCCCTCCAGCCCCGCCCACCCACCCCGCCCTCCTGTCTCTGCCACGCCCCACCCCACCCCACCCCCACCCCACCCCCGGGCCACAGCCTCCTGCAGGGTCTGCTTCCCCAAAGTCCTGCCAGGGCGATGTGAGGAGAGGCTGGGAAGAGCTGAGGCTGTTTGCTTGTGGTGGGAGGACCAGGTAGCCTGGCCCTTTAAAGATGGTGCTGGGGCTTTAGGAAACCTGCGAGGATGTGTGGGAATTTACAGTGGACTTTTGTACATTACAGAGCAAAAGTGGAGGAGCTTAAAATCTTTTGGTTTGTGGAAGGTGGGCAGGTGATAAAAAGTCCTTAGGAATAATAGTAGCGAGCATTTCTTGAAGTACAAGTTCTGTGTGTGTGTGTGTGTGTGTGTGTGTGTGTGTGTATGCGCGCCAGAATGATTCCTAAGTACATGACGCCTATTAACTCGTTTAACCCTTAACGACCACCCCTGAGGCGAGATCTATTACTGTCTTCATTGAGACTTGAGGAAACGGAAGAGTGGTAAAGTGACTTGCCCAAGATCACAGCAAATGTTAGAGCTAGTTTTGAACCCACATTTGGTGGTTCTAGATTCCTCACTCACATGATCTAAAACGCTAAGAAAGAGGATGGCGTTACTGTGGTTAGGAATAGAGCTCCAGATGCCTGAAGCAACAGAGAAAGGAGGAAGATATTCACCATGAAGGATGGCATCAAAGTCTCCCAGTAATTCTGGAGGGAGATAGATATTTACCTTCGTTTTAGAAATAAGAAACAGTAACTTGGAGTAACTTTCCTGTGGACGAACAGCGGGCGGTAGGGCCAAATAGGACTCCAGGTGTAACGATTTTAAGATTTCGCTTTTTTAAGCTCTCGAGTATGTCCCCATCCTTCTCTGGTACATCCTTTGTCACTTTACACTCATTAAAAAAAATCCTCTCCTGAGGATATGTTTATTGATTTTATACAGGGGAGGTGAGAGAGAGAATGAAGCATCTGTGTGAGAGAGAAACATCTATTGGTTGCTTCTCAAAGACGCACTTACTGGGGATCCAACCCACAACCTATGTATATGTGCCCTGAACTGGGGCTCGCAACCTTTTTGGTGTGTACAGAACGACACTCCTACTCAATGAGCCACCCAGATAAAGTGTTTTAAGGTGCCCTTTCACCATCCAATCCTTCAATCCATTTATACAGTGTTGTTGTGCACTAGTCTAAATCAATGACTTGATCCAGGACCTTCAATGGTTTCTCTAGTTGTGAGATGAAAGCCATCGTCTCTCCCTAAAGCAATTTCAAGCATCAGTGAACAACGGTCGGGGGAAGCTGGGGTTTTGGTTTATGTATGGAGAGGCTACCGTCATCCATTCGTAAGGGGCACAGTTGGCATTTGTCAGACTCTTGGAGGTCATTGCACAGCTGGAGAATTCTATATGATCTGGGTATGGCCACTAGCCCACAGGTGATTTGAGGATGAAAGAAATCTAATCAGTTGCCTTCCAGAGCCTTCTCTGGAGGGGTCACCAAGCACTGGTGTAGGTACCTGTTCAGCAGAGTGGGCATAGGACGGGGGGGGGGGGGGAGACTAGAGGTTTGAGGGCTGCAGGTGTATCTTCCAGGAGAAAAAGGCCACTGGGGACTGTGCAGTGTGTGCATGAGGGAAGAAGGTGTGCTGGTGTCTTCCTGCTTTCATACAGAGTAAATGAAACAGACAGGAGTGGATAGTAATGATCTTTGTGTGAAAGAATGGGTATTTCCGGGGAATCAGTGGCCAGTTGGAGATGGAAGGTGAAACACAGATGTTTAGTGAGGCAGGTTAAATGTAAAAGGGGGATTTCATGATACTGTCTGACCAAAGTGGTCTGATGTCTACCTGCAGGAGGCCAGGTGAGAAGCAGAGGTGAGGTTATCCCTAATCTACCAGTTAATGAATGCAACATAGTATACGGAAGGGGATAACTTTACAAAGAAATGATAATCACAAAATTCTGAGAGGCAAGCGGGTAGAAGGAGGAGGAGCACGGAGACAGATACCATTGGCGGTGGTCTTGCTCTTGGTGTGGATGGTGGTTTTGTGGGTGTCTGCTATGTTTTAGAGCTTACACATACTCTTCTATATGTTTTAGGTATTACATAAATTTTTAAGTAAACTCATCAAAATAGGGCACTCTATTTCTATTTTCTTATGTAATTGAGAATTGACTACATATGTTTCATTTTATTTAATTTTTCTCTCATTCCCATCAACATACAAACACACTACAATTTCTCCATCATATTCCTCTCCAGATTTGCCCCATTTCTCATGTCTCCTTTCTCATTTTCTGCTTGCTGTTTACTGAATGTTTTTGTGGCCCCCACCCCCTGCCTCATTCACATGTTGGAGCTGCAATCCCCAATGTGTTGGTCTTTGGAGGTGGGACCTTTGGGAGGTGTAAGTTTAGATGAGGTCAATTGGATAGACTATCAGGGGTGTGAAACTCATGTTCACTGGGGGCCATTACGGCCTCCAGGTTGCCTCCAAAGGGCCGAATGTAATTTAGGACTGTGTAAATGTAACTACTCTTGACAGTTAAGTGAGAGTTTGGTGCTACCGCCAGGTAGAAATAGGTGCGGAGCTGGATAAAATAAGGTGGAGGGTCGGATTCAGTCCAAGGGTCTTGCGTTTGCCACCCGAGGGACAGTCTTTATAATAGGATTAGTGCCCTTAAAAGAAGTTGAAGAACTTCTGGCCAAGATGAAGGTGTAGGTAGATACACTGTGCCTCCTCGTACAACAAAAATAAGGACAACAATTTAAAAGCAAAATAACAACAAGAACTGACAGAAAATTGAACTGTATGGAAGTTGGACAACCAAGGAGATAAAACAGACACATTCATCCAGACTGGTAGGTGGGGCAGAGTTGGGCAACTGGGCAGAGACTGTTCGCAGCACACAAAGCAGAGGCACTTGGTGCTCAAGGCACCCCAGGTGTGCAAGACAGCAGCAGGCAAACCCTGGGTGTGGGGTGGCGATGGGCAAGTCCAATGAGGTGGCAATTGTGAAACAAAGTGCACAAGGCAGCTGGCTGACTGGGCAGTCCCACATTCATATGCAGATAAAGCAGGTGAAGTTGGGGAGTGAGGCAGACCATGCAACCCAGGGTCCCAGTGCTAGAAAACAAAGTCTGAAAACATCAATTGAAAACACCTCTGGGGGCTGAGGCACAGAAGAGACTCCCAGACTCACAGGAGAGTTCGTTGGAGAGATCCACAGGATCCCAGAATGTGTGCAGGCCCATCCACATGGGATTCAGGGCCAGAGGGGCCCAGTTTACCTGGGGGTGGTGGTGGAGGGGACTGGAATCCAAAGAACAGTGGAGGGAGCACAGCACTTTTTTCTCTGGGACCCCGCCCCCACATACAGTGTCACAACCGAGTAACAGGATTGCCCCGCCATGATGAAAATCTAAGGCTCTGCCCCCTCATACATAAAAGGTGTGATAACACAAAAAATGGCCTAAATAGAAAAACAGATCAAAGCTCCAGAAGTAATACAACTAAGTGACAAAGAGATAGCCAACCTATCAAAGCATTGGTGATCCGGATGCTCACAGAATTGGCAGAATTTTGTCTCAAATTACATGAAAAAAATGAAGGCTACACTAAGTGAAATGATGGAAAATGCATAGGGAACCAATAGTGATGGACAGAAAACTGGGACTTAAATCACTGGCATGGACCAGAAGGAAGAAAGAAAGAACCAAACAGAAAAGAATGAAGAAACAAGAATTTTTTTTAAAATGAGGAGAGGCTTAGGAGCCTCCAGGACATCTTTCAGTGTCCCAACATCCAAATTATAAGGGTACTAGAAGGGGAAGAGGAAGAGCAACAAGTGGAAAACGTATTTGAACAAATAATAAGGAGAACTTCCCCAATCTGACAAAGGAAATAGACTTCCAGGAAGTCCCTGAAGCTCAGAGTCCCAAAAAAGTTAAACCGAAGGAGGAACACACCAAGGCACATCATAATTATTTTAGCCAAGATAAGAAAGAAGGAGAGAATCCTAGAAGCCGTAAGAGATAAAGAGTCACCTACAAAGGAGTTCCCATAAGACAGTCAGCTGATTTCTCAAGAGACCTTACAGGCAAGAAGGGGCTGGAAAGAAGTATTCCAAGTCATGAAAGACAAGGACCTACATCCAAGATTGCTCTATCCAGCAAAGCTTTCATTTGAAAAAAAGAGCAGATAAAGTGCTTCTCAGATAAGCTCAAGTTAAAGTAGCTCATCATCACCAAACCCTTATTCTATGAAATGTTAAAGAGATTTATCTAAGAAAAAAAAGATTACTGTCATGTACAGTAAAATATGACAGCAAACTCACAATTATTAAAAACCACACCTAAAACAAAGAGAAAAACAAACTAAGCAAACAACTAGAACAGGAACAGAACCACAGAAATGGAGATAACATGGAGGGTTAGCAACAGGGGAGTGGGGGGAAGAGAGAGGGGGAAAAGGTACAGAAAATAAGTAGCATAGATGGTAGGTAGAAAATAGACGGGGGGGAGGGCAGGAATAGTATGAGAAATGTGGAAGCTAAAGATCTTAAGACACATAGACATGAACTAAAAGGGGGGAGTGTGAGTGGAAGAGGGTGTGCAGGGTGGAGAGGAATGGAGGGGGGAATGGGACAACTGTAATAGCATAATCAATAAAATATATTTTTAAAAAATGGGAGACTAGAATTGTCTCTCTATGGCACGTGAGGATACATGGAGAGGTGGCAGTCTACAAACCTTCATATAGACCCCACAAGGACCCAATCTGCGAGCACATTGATCTTGGGCTTCCCAGCCTCTGAAACTGTGAAAAAATAAATTTGTTGTTTAGCTACCCAGTCTAGGCTGTGTTGTTTTAACTGCCAAAACTAAGGCAGGGGTTCT